TGACTTTATGGCTCATTGTAATCTACCTGATCCCTTCTAAATTCTTCATTTCACAGATGTTAACGACTCTCTCTCCTTTGTAGAGGTCTTTAATGGTTCCATTAATCAAGCTATCCTTTGGGCTGCAATTCTGCTGTCTGCTAGCTGCTCCTGGTAATGTAGTTCCTATTTCATAGCCCTGCAGACTCTTGACTAGAAACATGAAATCAGGATTACAGTGAAGCACTGGATGCACTGCCAAGATGATCAAGAAGACTTGATTTTGTTTCATGAATATGAAAGAGATGTACATTTAATTCTAATGACTACAGAACTAATGAAACATCTTTTGATTATTTTTGCCTAGTTTGTTGTATTTTTATATAAAATATATAAAGTAGCAAATTGAGCATATTCCAGTTAATCCACCCAGTTGGCCTGCCTGGGGTCCAAGTAGAGATGGCTACTCTCAGATCTGGGAGGCAGTCTGTCTAGAGCACAACAGTGTGGTTGAGAGCCCTGCTGTGGCACGTGGTAAGTTTACTGGTCCGAGGCCCTAACCCAGGAGGATGAGAGGCTCATGTGAAAGAAAGAGAGAGCTTAAGAAAGAGAGAACAAGAAAAAGAACATAAGAGAGAAAGAAAGAACAAACTAAACAAAATGAAAGAAAGAAGAGAAAGGTCAAGGCTGTCCCAGAACCACCTAATTTGAGGAACTGAGGTTGTAAGAAAAAATGCTTTGAGGATTGTGATAAATTGTGAGTGTTGGCAACACTGAGGATGGGACAGAAGGAACACTGGACACTTGGAAGGAAAGCAGATTTAAGAATGATACTTACATTTTCTCTTCTACTAAGTCCCTGGTTCAGCATTAGAAGAAAGCAGCTCTTGTTTAGGATTCATAGATTCTCCACTGCTGTCACATGACGGAGGCCAGGCCTTGTTACTCTCCCTTTGCATCAGTGTTACTGAGCCCTACGTACTTTTGAGATCCAGGGTCGGGTAGCATTTGTCCCCCTAACTCTGACATCTGTCTGTCCTGTCCTTTCCTAATCCTTGGGAAGACCTTTGAGAAAATTATAAAGGAGCACATCTGCAAGGGCCCAGCAGGGGAGGTAATGCTCAGAAGCAACCAGCGTGGGTTCATTGAGGGCAGGTCCTGCCCGACTAACCTGGTTTCTTTTTATGATCAGGTCACAAAGTCCCTGGACGAGGGCGTTGAGGTGGATGTCGTCTTCCTGGACTTTAAGAAGGCCTTTGACACTGTTTCCCACCACATTCTCTCAAAAAAAACTAGGTGACTGTGGCATTGATGCCTACACAGTCAGATGGGTGGCAAATTGGGTAGATGATCGTACCCAGAGTGTGGCGGTAGACGGGTTTTTTTCGACCTGGAGGGATGTGGGCAGTGGAATCCCCCAGGGCTCGGTCCTGGGGCTTGTACTGGTCAACATCTTTATCAGCGAACTGGAGGTGGGTGTGGAAAGCATGCTGTCCAAATTCATTGATGAGACCAAGTTGTGGGGTGAGTTGGGCATTCTGGGGGTGAGGGACAGCATCCAGCTAGATCTAGACAGGTTGCAGAGGTGGACAAGAAAGGAGAATAGGATGGAATTCAACGCAGACAAGTGCAAGGTACTGCATCTAGGGAGAAGGAACGAGCAACACACCTGCAGGCTGGGAAACACCCTTCTTGTCAACACAGTGGCAGAAAGGGATCTTGGAGTCATTGTTGACTCCAGGATGGACATGAGCCACTAATGCGGTCAGTAAGGCTAACCGTACCTTGTCGTGCATCCACAGATGCGTCACAAGCAGGTCCAGGGAGGTGATCCTTTCCCTCTATGCAGTGTTGGTCAGGCGACAGTTGGAGTACTGTGTCCAATTCTGGGCACCGCACTTCAGGAGGGATGTGGACAACATGGAGAAGGTCCAGAGGAGGGCTACCCGCATGGTCAAGGGGCAGCAGGGCAGGCCCTACAAAGAGAGGCTGAAGGTCCTGAACCTATTCAGCCTCCACAAGTGAAGGCTGAGGGGGGACCTGGTGGCTGTTTACAAACTCACCAGGGGGGACCTGCGGGAATTGAGGGAGGCTCTGTTCCCCCGGATACCACCTGGGGTTGCTAGGAATAACGGCCACAAATTGTTAGAGAGAAGGTTCAGGCTGGACATCAGGAGACATTACTTTACAGTTAGGGCTGCCAGGCTCTGGAATAGGCTCCCAAGTGAGGTGGTGCTCTCTCCTACCTTGGGGGTCTCCAAGAGGAGGCTGGACAAATATTTGGCTGGGGTGCTATGACTCCGCACTCGTTCCTGTCCGGGGCAGGGGGTTGGACCTGATGATCTGTTTAGGTCGCTTCCGACCCTGTGCACTATGAAACTATGAAACCCTGGATATCTTCAATGATAGCAGTTCTGTGTCCTCCATATATTATAGATTGTATTCTGCAGAGAACCAGATTCCCTGCTGCTGGTGAGGAAAGGTCACTGCCCATCTGTGCACCAGAAGGGAGATGCATACATGGGGTGTATGGCCATCTCCTTGTCTTCTGGTTTTCGATGGTGCTGGCTGATTGCAGAACCTGCTAAACTCATGAAGTTATTTGTACTTTAGGTGCCCTGGACATACTCCATGACCTGTCAGATTGCTTCACTTCTTAGAAGTCAACCACATTTTGGGTGCTGACTACTTCCAAGAAGCGCAACTTCCTCTATGGTCAGGCCTTCACTAGGCCTTAGTTCAAGAAGTGCCAGCTCCTTGGCTAAATCTGGCTCAGATTTTAGTTGTGCTTCCCTGCGGCAGTGGCACTTTAGTGCATGTTCTGCTTGCATTGGCTTCTTGGGATAATCAGCCCCTCTCTCTAGTGTGGCATCCCACCGTAACTGTATTTTCTGACTGCCATCCTGTCTGCCCTCCTCTCTTCCTCTGAACTGATCTGATTGAATGTGGCAGACTTTCTTTCCCTTTGGGTAGATTGATCTCCTCTGAACTCCTTGCCTGTTGACCTCCAGCCAAGTTGTTAAGCTTGGACACCTAAGTGAGGCACCCAGTTCCATGGCTAGGTGTCCAAGTCAACCCACATACTTGGCACCCTTCAGCTTACACAGCCCACCAAATATTTATGATATTTGTGGTATGCTTTGAACTCAGAATGGGGAATTAGTGTAAACAGCCATGTAACCATGTACATGACTGGATGCCAGCTTGTGAGGGTGCCTGCTGTAGGTGTTCAAGGCCAAGCTCTGATTTGAGCAGTCTAATTTATGCAACATTTGCTGAAAACTGAGTGCTGTTGTTTGAGAAATCTGGGGCATGGAGCTGTCACCAGTGCCCTAAATGGCCCTAACCAGTGCTAAGGCAACGGAAAGAATTACCTCATTTGTTCTATACGCCATCCTATTAATGTAGCCCAATATAGCATACTCCATTTTTACTCTAGCTTTGCACTGCTGACTCATATGCAATCCATCACTCTTTAAGGCCCTAGATTCTTGCATTTGGAGCTGTTACCCAGCCAGTCAACCCTTTTTCTGTTTGGAAGTATGATTATTGGGGTATGAAACCAGTTTCTTCTCACTGACTTCACCCTCTTTCTCCAAGATAGCCAGGCCCTCATATATTTTAGTCCTACCCTCAACTTTAGGGCCTAGTTATTTCCTCTCTTCACCAGCCTTGTAGCAAAAAATTAAGTTAGCCCATTGTTAATACCTCATGCACTTGTCTGTCCTCCGAAAGAATGTGAGATACTTTGGCAGTACAAGAGACCTGGCTTTCTGACTCCCAGTCTGAATCAGCAACATACACATGGCAGGGAGAGAGAAAACCAGGCACTGTGTACACTCATGTACCTGGGTGAGGCTGCACAGCACACACATGCGTGCGCGCACATACATGCATGCTCGGGGGGGGGGGGTAAGGCAACCACACAGCATTATTTACTTGTAGTGGTTTATGTGCTGTATTTCCCTCATTACTAGCCCCTGGCTACACATCTAGTTATTGTGAATGAACCCATGGATCTGTCCAGTGATTGCTTTGAGGCTTGCTCAGGGGGCTGTGCTGATCTGCTGCCTTGATCCAGTTGCTGGCTGCCACCTAACCAACAGAACTGCTTCCTTATCCCTCCCTGCTTCAGGGGGGCCCCAACCAGCTACGCCCCATGGGTCAGGCACTCCCAGCTCTTCCCCATAGCCCTGGGCCAGGCATTCCCAGCCCCGCTCAGGCCCTCCATCAGCCTTGTATCCATCCACACTGCCTTGCTAATACTCAGATCCAGGGGGGAGGATGTGACTTGTGCCATAAGTGCTGGGACCTGCTGGACCTTCCCTCCCAAAGACAGCAGAGTCCAGGGGGAGGAGAGGTGTTGACCCATGTGGGATGCAGAAAGGGCCAGGGCAAAGAAGCTGCTTGTATTGTAGAAGCTATGATTGTAACTGGGGCTGCTTTCTCTGAGGCATTCATTGGAAATCTTTAACCCCAGTAATTCTCTGTCCTGCCTGCTTCTGGCTGTGGGGATCTGAGGATCCCACGTAGAAGGTGGTTCTGTGGTAGGATTTGACTGGCCAAAATGGGAGTGACTCCTTTCAGGATTCCCAACCCCATGCCCAGCACAGGGTAGATCAGCAAGAAGGGAGCTCAGCAGAGCACGGCTTGTGTATGCAAAGCTGTGGAAGGTCTCCATCCGCAGCCTGAAAGCTGTATGCTTGCCCCAGAAAACCTCAGCTCCATTATGCCTTGGACGTCAACAGCCACGACATCCCCTAATCAGAGAGCCTCAGGGGCCTAGATGATTGCCTGGCTAAGGACACTTATCTCTCAGGGGCATACACTTGTCTGAAGAGACTCAGCAGCACCAAGGTGCAGTCTTCCTGTCTTAGTGCCATGTTTCCTCTTCTTCAAGGCCTGTGCGCCCTGAGTTGGCTGGGCAGGAACACAGAAAGCTAGCCATGTCTGGTCACTGGATTTGCCAACAAGCCACTCAGTAAAAAGCCACCCCCCCATCTCCATGTTGTGTGTTTCAGGATGAAGAACAAGCTGTGGTACTTTGAATTTGGCACAACAGAAACCTTCGCTGCCACCTGCAAGAAGCTCCATGACTATGTGGAGATTGAGGTGAGTGCTTGGGCTCAGATCTGCTGTTCCCACTGGGGCCCTTTCTTCCCCACAGTGTGTGGTTGATAGCCATCCCAAACCTCGCTCCCCTGGGAACGAGGCTCCAGTGCCTGGCTCTGACCTGCTGGTAGTGAGACATCTCCCCACAGAGGGACTGTGTGGCAGGGCAGTGGGTCACGACACGGAGCCGAGGGGATGGAGGAGGATAACATTGTCCAAAGTGCCTGAGTGAGTGAGAAGTCTCAGTCCCATTTCCAGAAGTGACTGAAGGGATCTCTACACCCTTTCTCCAGAGTGCTGGAGACCATGCCAAGGAGCATGGCACTGCCCCCTGTGACCACGCTGTACACACACAAAACCTGGAACTGAGGAAGTGAGGCTGCCCCTGGAGACCCCTCTGTCACCAATCTTGAGCACTCTCTCTCCCTCTCCATCCTGTTTGAGCACCACTTCATTGCCTTATTTCCAGGTTTAGCATAATGGGAGGGGGGAGGGACATGCCTCTTGGCAGCAACCCCAGGGTACTGCGGAAGCAGTCCATAGTTACTTGGGGCTCAGAAAGATTGGAAAATGCAGTGGTGTGCTCGGTGGGATTCAGAAGAGCACCTAAAGGCCTTGCTCCCATTGGAGTCTGTGGGGGCTGCACATCCAGCCTGCTCAGAGGCTTTTGAAACCCCCCCCTGGACATACATCTCTGAGTTTAAGCACCTTTGAAAATCCATCCCTAGATACTAACAACAGTTTTGAAAATGGGATTTAGGTTCCCAAGCCACTTAAGCACTTTGGGCATTGTTAGCCTCAGGACCCTAATATATTTAGGTGCTTTGGAAAATATTAACTACAGGCCTAGCAATACCATTCCTTCCTGCTTCCATTTTTGTTTCCTTAATATACTGCTTCAGAGCAAAGGTAGGTTTTCCATCTCTACCAATACGCATTATAGCTGATAATTAGACTGTGACCTCAAGCCAGACAGCTTTTCTTCCGGTGTGTTTGTACAGCACCCAGCACAATAGGACCTGGTTCTTGAGTGGACGTGACTGCAATGAATATCATACATAAGAATAATGAGAGCGCTGTGGTGAGAAATCCCTGCTTCTGACTTGAAATATACCAATTACGCAGCCTCTTGCAAATATTTCAGCAAATTCCCTTGAAACAATCCCATCCTTTTGCTCCGTGTTGCTGATTCCTGAGCTGCCGGTATGTAAATAGAAGCACTCTCCACTGAAAGCTCCGTTCTTTTTCCAGATTCAATTAGTGATATCGCAGTCTGACACTGGTGAAGTCACCGCACTGGGCTGTGATATCACTTGGCACCCTGGGCTAGGGGGCAGGCTGCTTACAATGGAACAAGTTTCTGTTTACAAGCTGATCCACTGATTAGCAGCAGTGATCAGAGGAAATGGATGAGCCAGTTTGGTAAAATATTTTGTTAAAGTTTGTATATGGGAAGGTGGAGTCTCTTTAAACACACACCAGACATCTCGAATCAGGGAGCTGGCTGTAACTGGAGCCAGCTGCAGGAGAACAGAATAGTCCTGTTTTTTTCCTCCGTACAGCTGTAGTTGAGAGTGTGCCTGGAATATTCTCTCTGTAAACTCTGTGTCTGCACACAGCCGTCTTTGGATTACATGGAAACAGCCTTTAATTAGAGGAAGGCGGAGGGGTGAGCTGCTTGCCAGCGGTTGCTATGAGCCGTGGCGTTTTACAGTTCGCAGTGGTGTTTTTGTGCTGTGCTTTTTGTAAACTTCCTGCTTTTCTTATCTCAGAATAAATGAGCCATTTATTATTTATTCATGAGGGCAAGAGAAAAAAAAAGGTCAGTTGACACAAAGGCCGACGTGGAAGTGGCCATGCAAGCTGGGCCACTTGCAATTTAATTCATGTCCTAGTTGAGTGCATGCCAGCAAAGAAAATCCCAAGACACCCAAGCCTGGAGGAGTGTCTCTTGCCCCCTAATTATAGTCTGTGTGGTAAAGGTTGGGGGGAGCTGAAGAGGAATTGCCTACTTCTGCCTGGAAAATCCAGCACTGTGAACCTGCATGGGAGGTGGGAGAATGAAGGCTAGAGATAGCGCAGGGACAGGAAGGTAACATGAAAGCACCCGAGCTAGTCAGAAGCAGCACCACATATTCAGTCCATTCACAGGCATAGAAATGCCGTGGTATTTTACCTCCAGCTCTAGCATTTGCCTCCCTTTGTTATGGGAAAATGTCCTCAACCTCTGTCCCAGGAAATCGAAGAGACAGAGGTGCTGGACAAATGGACTTGGCATCTAGGGGGCTGCTGGGTAGCTGAGCACAGAGGACAGGAGGATGCATCAGCTCTTTTCTTTGCTCATCCCTCTAATGACATCACTCCCTTTGCGTCCCTCCACCAGCTCCCTCTGCTCCACCATCCCGAACTGGCACTCAATTCCTAGAGACCCCAGGCAGACCATGGGTCTCTCTCTGCTTCTCCCTGCTTACTGGGTGCCTGGCATTGACTGAGCCCAGAAGGCTGTGATTGCTTACCCTAAAACCATCCCTACACCGGCTACATCAGTCACAAGAACCTTGTCCTTTGCCATTCTCCATGTAGCCCTGCTGGGATGCAGTGATGCCAGCCCCTACCACCTGCCTGTCTGCTTCTCCCTTGAGGATCTCCGTGCCCAATTCCTATACTACCCCTTCTGTCTCCCCATAAACATCCATGAAGCCACCCATAGCTGGCATTAGCTAGCAAGGAGCAGGCTGAGGCTTTGGGTGTTCTGATCCACTCTGCTTGTTTTATGTTTATTGTATCCTCCCAGCCCACCTCCCCCACCTTTTGGTCCCTGTTGAACACCTGTGGCACCCAGTCTGGCTTGCAGGGTTGTGCGCGTTAAGAGCAGGGCCTGTCATCTTTGTTACATGCCTGTACAGATCCCAGTACATGGGACCCAGACCCTTAATGGGGACATTACCATAATGAAATACTAAATAGTCATAGCAACAGAGAAGAGGTTAAGGGAGCTCACTGCATAGTCTAGAGGGGATATGGACACTATCCATCGCTAAATATCATTGGAGGAGGGAAATCATTCACCTCACACAGAGCAAAAACCAAGAGTTTGTCATTAAGGAGGGCTAAATTTAGCTTGGATATTAGGAAATACAAGAAACAGAGTGGTTGGACAACAGAGTAATTATCAAATGGAAGGTGTTCAAGGCACCGTCATTATGGATGCTGAAGGACAGGTCAACTGTGTACTGGAGAGATTTCCGACTGAATGACCTGGTGGACTTCTGACCCAACACAGCTCTCTGATCTTGTGACTGGACAGCCTCCCCAGAGCACTCTTCTGGCCAGCTTGCATGGCAGAAACACAGGCTGACTTTAAACAGAGAGGCCAATCAAAAAAAGTTGATTTCTGAATGATGTCCGAGAGCAGGGAAATGCACGATGCAGAGGCAGACTGTTGTGGTACATAATCCTCCAAACACATGGTGTTTCTGCCAGGGGCCCATGGTGGTGGGGAAGGAGACTGCTAACATCCCAGAACTCTCCTCCTGGCCTCTGCCCTGCTCTCCACGGCAGCTCACCCCTAGGCTCTCCAGGCAGGGTTTCCCTCCACGACTCGTGCAAATGCACTGTCAGTTTTCCCCGGCACTCCATCTCACTTGCAGGCAAGCATTATACAGCGTACAAATTGCAATCCCAGGCCAGAAAGTGTTAATTTAGCAGCATTTTAAGCTGAAAGTAGCAGCCTGTGCTCCCTCCAGCTCTGAGGCAACTGTCGTGATTGCAGAGAAATGGCAGTTTTGTTTTGGAAATTGGCATCCATTATGGGATAGCTCCTGGAAATGAATTTGGTTTTCCCCCAGCTGCAAATTTCAACTTCCAGCCTCCCTGCCAACACCCCATCAGCTGCCCCTTCTCAAAGAGACCATTGTACCATGTTGGCGCACAAACAGAGGAGGGTCAAAGAGGGGAAAAATAACATTCTCTGCTCATTGGACTGCCTTCAGTGTGGTGTGTATATATGTGGCATCTGTACCACATTCTTAGAGCCTTCCCAAACCTGCCAGCGTCCTGCTTATCCCAACAGTGGATGGCGTTTCTTTCTAGTACCCTGATCTCCACAAAGAAAGTCGGTGGCATCCACAGGATTTAGGAACTTATGTTCCTACTGGGCAAGGGCACAGACCCCTGCTCTTTCCCCGGTCACAGCAGTAATGTTTAATCTAAAGCATTCCAAGCAGACAGTCTTGGTGCCTGTGAAAATGGGAGGGCCAGAGGCCTGGTGCACAGACTTTAACGACCCTGGCACCGCTGAAATGCAACCACCACAGTGTCGACACAGGCTGAGAGTCTGCCCAAGCCAAACAGCCCACGAGGTTTAAGACCTAGCAATTTCTTTACCAGCAGCACACAAGGCCATGATACACATAGCATCCAGTCCAGCCACTTGACTTGGCAATCTAAACAATCAGGTGCCTGTTTACAGCTAGGTCGATGGGGGGCAGCCTGCGGCACAAATCCAGAGCTTGGTGTTGTGCCTCTGGAACCACTGGATGCTTTACCCACTGCCCGCCAATATGGACCTATTTATACCAGTACATTGGGCCAGTAAAGCTTATCCCCATTAGGTGACTATCTGCTTCTTCGGGTGACTAAGCACCTCTCTAAGCCTTACCTCTAAATCCCTATTTAGAAGCTTTAATCAGCATTTAACTGAATTTGCATATGAGTGCCCAAAGCTGCATTAAGGTAACTGTACATAGGTGTGTACCAGACCCATCTGCAAATGGGGTTGACCATTCTGGGTGGGTTCTGTGCCTTCTCTACAGCAAATCTGAGCACATGCTGGCAAGGGGGAGAGGTTTGTTTCTCAGCAGCTGTCTCGAAATCGCTACAGCAGTGTTATACACAGGCCCTCTGTGTGTGTGTGTGTCCATTAATGATTAACAGCTGCTTTCTGACACGCTTTTGGGTTTGAGCCCTTAGATGTGGCATTCAAAATTGACTGAAGTATGGACAGACAGACAGAGAAGTGCCATGGTGTTAAGTGTAGGACCATGCTTGGCTTGGCCAATTAATATATTAATATATATTTTGACTTATGAGGAGAGGCTGAGGGAACTGGGTTCATTTAGTCTGGAGAAGAGGAGACTGAGGGAGGATTTAATAGCAGCCTTCAATTCCCTGAAGGGTGCTTCCAAAGAGGATGGAACTGGACTGTTCTCAGTGGTGGCAGATGGCAGAACAAGGAGCAATGGCCTCAAGTTGCAACAAGGGAAATTGAGGTTAGATATTAGGAAGAACTTTCTCATGAGGAGGGTGGTGAAGCACTGGATCAGGTTACCCAGAGAGGTGGACTCTCCATCCTTGGAGGTGTTTAAGACCCAGCTGGACAAAGCCTTGGCTGGGATGATCTAGTTGTGGCTAGTCCTGTTTTGAGCAGGGGTTTGGACTAGATGTGACCTCCCGAGGTCCCTTCCAACACTCATTGTCTGTAGTTCTATATTGAGTGTTACAATTTCTCATTATGGGCCAGTAGCACGTTATTCTGGGTGTGGTACAAACACATCAGAGTAATTCAGGACATCAGGGTCTTTAAAAAAAAAAAAAGTATTATTACTTTAAGAATCATGCTGGAGAGTAGGGCTGTGCAAAGCTTCAGGTGCTGATTCAATTCAGAGGAGATCCAATTCAGTGGCCAAATCTCTGAATCCGAATCAAATCAGGAGACCAATGAAAAGGTCTGAGTCGATTCGAAATTCTCTGAATCAATTCGGAAAAGATTCAGAGAGCTTAGGCGATTCGGTCAGTCCCCGCTTGCTGCTGCAGGGAGCTGGACCCAGACTTCATGGTGGTAAGTAGGGGTGGGAGAATGGGGAGGGGAACATGGGGGGACCCTGCCTGCTCCCCCATGGCGGCCTTACCCACCCCAGCTCCCAGCCCTTTAAAAAAAGAAGAAGCCCTAACTCACTGGCTGCTGCAGCGGCTTCGGGGTTTCTAGGGGCTCCAAGCTGTAAGCCCCCAAAACACAGCTTATGACTTAAAATACATAGAACATTTCTGGCTTCTCATGTTTGAAGCTGAGCTGAAAAAAGAGCTCCAAGCATGATGGAGAAAACACACATGTATATACAAACATACATGCATATGAGTATGCACATATATGTATACGCTTGCAGTCCTATAGTCACACGTGTATGCACGCAGTAACAAATAATTAGTTTCCTACTTTTGACCCTGAATCTTATTAAAAATAAAGCAGAGGCCCTCACTGAGCAAGAAAGAGAGTGTCAACCATTCTAGCAATGTAAAGTTCTTTATTATCTAGTACACTTTCTTCTTAGTAAAGCAACATGGAGGACTAATCTCATCAGAATCAAAAGAAAAATAACTTTTCTAATCCTGGATGATCCATAGCTTAGTGGGCAAAAGAACAAATACTTTCAACCTGGAGAAACACATTCACAATTTAAAAAGGAGGTTTTTCCCTTACTACATTCATGGCTCTTGTAGCCAGGTCAAGGAAACTATTTATTTTTCTACCTTGAAAAAAGACCCCTTTATTTTTACAAATAGAAATCAACAAATAACGATGTCTGGATACCAGTATTTTGGGCAAGTTTGGCAGAATTCACAGACCAAGTATTTTTGTTTAAGATACAAAATTCCCTGCAAGCTTGAATGAAAAGGAAGGAATTATACAATTAAATGTTAGAGTTATATTTACATGTTCTCCCCCTCCAATCGTACAGGAAAACCACAAATACAAATATTGGACTTTTAAGTATAATTTTTCAAATAATGCAATTTTCCTATGTAATGCTGTGGAATCCTTAATAACAACTCCAAGCAACGTTTTATTGCTTTCCTACAGTCTCCAAAATTGACATTTTTCTTGCATTTTTTCCTTCTTTAATATCATTTTCTGCCAGAGTCAGCTCTATTTTCCAAATTGCCTGTTTGAAAAAACAGTATCCAGTTATCAAAGCGATCAAAGTGCTACTCTAGATTTTAAATGGCCAGAACAATTTCTTCCCTAAAATAAGTTCCAATAATAGAAGAAGGCACGGAGAAAATTAGATAAGTGGAATATTTCTAAGCCGCAGTAGCTAGAACAGGGTGGTGATTGACTTGTGATTAGAAAAACTTTCCTTTTAGTGACATCAGTTCCACTTGAAGCCACTCTGACAGCTGCTACAAATTATCTAATAAGACTTCTCTCTTTTTTTTTTTTAAGTTTTCATGTAAAATACATTGTGAAAAGGGAAATGTAGGCTCTTATAGCTTAAAAAGAAAGAAAGAACAAAAAGAATGAATTGTCCCTGGCTCTCTAAGGCTAAATTCTATTTGAGAGCTCTGTGTAAATGCTCTGCTCTGCAGTATTAGAAGCAGACTTGCTCACACAGTAACACACACAACTCTGAAAGTCCACATGCTGCACATGCCTCTTTTACCAGTGATGTGTAGTGCTGATAGCAGCACTCCAGCAATGGTGCCAGTTTTAAAAACAACTGGCTGAAAAATACTAATTGGTTTTCTTGGGAAATTTCAGACTCCGTTTTTAGCTTTGCTAAATTTTTCCAGCGAACAAATTGTTGGTATTTGAACAAATATGTAGTAGAAAACTGAAAACTAAATGGTTTTTGAAGACCTTGTTGCAGTTAGAAGATTAAGGTTCTGTTAGAAAATGGTAGCTGGTTTTGTTGATATTGTTCTACAAAATGGAAATTATTCCATGAAGTTAACCCCCCCCCCCCCAAAAAAAAAAACAAAAAACCAACCCTTTTAATTAAAAAATATCTTGAGAGGGAAATCTTTCGAGCCACTCTCACTTTAAGCTGCTTATGGCTCGACTCTTGCGTATATTAGAGATCATCTCTCCTTTTGTGGCATACTGTGACAGCTGAGAACAGAGGAGCTCACTGTACTCACAGTCCCTGCAGCAGGTAGCTAAGTCTAAGGGGTAGTGACAAGACGTTCTCAACGTAGGCCATCTTATCTGAAATTAACTTCCTCCTAGCTTAGTCCTTGACAACCTGATTCTGTGGCTCTACAGGACACGAGGCAAAGCCTGCCTCTCTGGCCCAATTTCCAATAAAAAGAAGACTGCGCAGGGAGAGTGTCATTGTTTGTAAAGCAAAGGCTGGAGTGGAGATTACGTCAGTTTTGATTTATCTGATGTTTTCCGTGGAGCCTGTGTATGCTCCTGGAGTAGTTATGAAAGGCGCATGAAATCTATTTGAAAAAGAAACAAATGCAGGCCTGTGAGTCTTTGCGGCCTGAGGAGGCCAAGCCCTACATATCAGGGGCAAGCAGACGGGTGTAAGGAGGAAACAAGGCTACGACTATCAAGCTTCGGTTTTGAAAGGGCTGGATGCTGAGTGTCCTGAACAGCTGCTGAGGACACACCATGGAGAGGTAGATGCCAAGCACGAGCCCCCCTTGAGCTGCCTAAGGGATCGATTCCTGAGCTATATCCAGGGGCTTGGCTCGGAGCCAGCACAGCACAGACCCCAGAGTGATAGCCAGAACGCTGACGTGCTGTCTGTGCGTGTAGGTTGGAAGACAACAGCTCGGGCTTCCTTGGATTCAGTTCAGCAAAGCACTTAAGCATGTTCTGATCTCCAAGCACATGACCGTTCAACTGGACTATTCATAAGCTGGAAGTTGAGCACATGCTTTGGAACCTTGCTGAATCAAGGCCAAACCCAAAGTGCCCCTGGAAGCATTTCACTGTCGATACCTCCAGACACTGCCTGGCCTCCACGTTTATCCAGGCAGCAACAGTCACTAGCCATTCAAATGGAAACACTTGACCCTTCTCTCCCCTAAGAGGTTTGCTTAAAAATTGTAACCAGTTAGTTGGCCAGAAGGGACCACTAGACCAGCATTTCTCAGCCCACTGGTTACAACCAAAAAGTAAATCACAAGGTTGCGAATAAACTTTAAAAATGGATTCTCCTTTAACAGAGAAAAGCATGGAAAGCCAGGGCTTTTCCCTTGCTGTTTGGCAGAGTTCCAGCCTGTGAGGGGCTGCTTGGACCTCCCCGCCCCCCCCTCGCCCCACACACTAGGGGGCTGGGGGCAAAGGGTTGGGAGTGAAGAGCACTGCGTTTGGACTGGCCATTGATGTTTACAAATGGGTCCTGGTACAAAAAAGGTTGAGAACCAGTGCATTAGACCATCATCTAATTTCACGCAGAATTTCGCTGGATCAAAGCAAATCTCCCAGAAAGGCAAATAGGGCACGTCTACATGTGCACTTTAATGTGCAGTAGCCTATTTTACTTCATATTAAAGCATCACACAAAACTGTGTAATTGCGCTATGTAATTATGCTATGTAAAATAGGCTACTGTGCATTAAGCATCACTTTAAAAATGTGCTTTCAGTACTGTTAGGGCAGCCTAACACGCATTTATTTAGAACCTCACATTAGGTAGTGAATTGAATGTGCATTAGGAAAAGTGCATTCATGCATGTATAGGTGTGTCCATAGGGTCTGCCTGGGGGCTGACATTATTTACAACTACCCCTCCGTTCTCAGACTTGCATTGGTGAGATTCCTAGCAGGGGGGCTGCCTTTTCTGTTTGCATGTGATGCTCATTGCAGTATTGAGGCCATTTGGAACGTCCTTCTGCAGCAGAGACCTCACTGCTTATCCTGCCCTGCCCTCCTCCAGCACTTGAGGTGACAGAAGCACCCCTGAGAGCCTGGCTCCCTGAGGCCATGCATTGGTCTCTGTGTCACTGTTGTCTGCCCACAGGTGCAGTGCCCTGCTTGATATGTAATCCAGGATGCCATTAAGTATTTAATCCCTCACTGTGCCTGCCTGTCTGTGTGCCTGCCAGTGTGATGGAACGCTTCTGGACCTGAGCAACACCTCGCTGGAGGGCATCGCAGTCCTCAACATTCCCAGCATGTATGGGGGCTCCAACCTGTGGGGAGAGACCAAGAAACAGCGCAGCTACAACCGGATGAGCAAGAAAGTACCTGAGAAGCTGCATTCCACCGTGGTCACTGATGCCAAGGAACTCAAGTTTTGCGTCCAAGGTGAGCCGCTCATGCCGTCAGTTATGGGGCTGGGAAAGGGTGGAGGAAGGGGACGTGGCAGGACTGGTTCAAGTTCCCAGGGTGATGACTGAAAAGCGTATGTTCTTCTGAGAGACTTTATGCATGGCTTAAAACAGGAAAGCAAGAAGAAATGGTATTACCTACAAGTAGATTTCTTTTTCATGAGCATTTAGCTGGCCCAGAACAGGAGCAAATCCATGATGCCCCCCTCACCTCATTGCCTTTGTCTGTGGGCACAGGTCTAGTGATACTGAACATTTTCCTGCCTGCTGGCCAACACTTGTAAGCCCCAAAGAATGGTCCATTCGGGTTGGCTGAAGACCATCTCAAAATAGTCCCAGTTTCTCAAAATGATTTCTAGGAGTAGAAGGCTTTGTGCTCTTGGAATGTAGAATGGGAAAGCCTACATTTGAGGATCTCTCTCAACCATGCCCTCCACACACGTCTCCCTCTTTGTCTTCTTTCTAAGAAAGGACTCGCTGTGGTGCAAATCCCACAGTTGTATCAACTCTCCAATGGCAGGCCCAGTGGGGTGCCTGAATTAAGGTACATAATGCCATAGAGACCCCAAGCACCATGAAGAAGGGCTCAGCTTAACAGATAGACAGGGAAGGGTGGCCTTGATGTTACCACAGCCTGAAACTCAGAAAGTCTGGGAGCAATACCCAGCTCTATCCTAAACTTCTCTGGGCCTTGGGTAGATTTTCATAAACTACCATAGATAGAATACCATAGACTTTTCTGGATCTGTAACGTGGGGGGTCACACTGCCTCCTAAGCTTGCTCTTTCCATTTGGATGGGTTGTAAGCTCTTCAGGGCAAGAATTCCCTCTCTCTGCACAAAGGCAAGAGAATGGGTCCTGGTGTAAGGGTGGGCCAGGCTCACATGAAGTCTGTCAGGCATACCAGCCAGGCTCCGGATTAATAAAGAGAAGTTCCTGGGGTAGGGGACAGCTCAGGGAGATGCATCCACCATGCCCTGGGGGTCCTCATTCACAGCTGCAGAGAAAGGGCAGGAGAAGGGTAGGGAATAAGGGGCTGTTTTCTGGGCCAGAATTTCAAACGTCTAACTCAGGTGTGGGCAGTTTGTTAGGGGATGCCCATGTGGGGAGGCAGGATGTCAGTATTGCCCTCCCAGCTTGGGGATGCCCACGTGGGGAGGAAGGGATATCTTGGTGCCTGTTTGTTTGCTGCTGACTGGAGGGAAGGAGCAGGAAATGGAGATGCAGAGCTTGCCCAAGAGTCTCCCTCCAGACCTTGGCTGCAGCTTTGCCAACACTGTCAATTTTATCACGTTCCTTTCCATATTTCTGCCAGGCCATTGCAGCCAACTGCCCAAGCAAGGGCTCTGGCTGTCACTGAGAAGCAAGCTAAGCTTCTAGCCCCACTGTGTGCAGAGGAAACCTTGCAAACATGGCCTGAGAGCTCCATGGAGACCACCAAGCCAGAGAAAGAGCCCAGCATTCATCACCATTATTACTTTCTAATCTCTTGTTTTCTAAGCCAGTCTTCTCATTTCTGCGCCCTCAGTTATGACTCAGGGAATGTTTGGGGCTGGCAGCATTGCTAGAGCAAGGATTTGGGAGGAGTTTGAAGGGCACCTGAAGGCAGCCCTGTGTCTACAGGTCACCCAGACATGGCCTGGGAAAGCAGGCTCCCTTGCACCGTGAGCTAACCAATTTCTCTGTGTCACTGAGACAGCCCAAGACACTATGCTGCACCTGCAGGAGGAGCATTTCCGTTGCTAACATTTTTGTTACAGTGAAGGGCTGGATTCATTGCTGTTCAGGTCAGCACACCAGGACTATGTTCATGCTTTCTCTCTGCTCCTCCTTGGACCACAGCTGAGATTCAAGCCTCGCCCACTCATTCCCACCTGCGCGCACACTCCAAGCCTAGCAATTAGGCACAGTAGACAGAGTAGACTTGCCCTGAGGCTCTCTCTGTCTCAAGAGCCTGACTACAGCATTGGCTTGGCAGGAGTGAGTGGGTGAGGTGTGTTCCTTAGCAGCAGCCTTGGGCTGAACGGGAAAGTGGTACAGACACAGTCCAGGGGGACAGAGTGTCTCCTACTGGTGAGGATATAACTGGGTACATTTGAAGTGCCCCAAGCAAACACTTTATACAGCTAGGAGTCCAGTCTGGTCCTCTGTAGGAGGAGGAAGTCCAAGAGCCCAAGAGAATGGTGCCAATACTTTCTTGTTTGTTCTTGACTTGATTTTTTCCATTCTTCATCCAGACCTGAGGGCTTTACTCAGGGAGATAAACCCCCTGAGGCACATGAGTCATCTCTAGTGGCAAATACAGAGCAAAAGAAATGTTGCCCCTACCCAGCCCCAGGGACAAAGGCTGGGGCAGTTATTCAGCAAAAATACCTATATTTATCAGAAAACCGTCTCATACTAGAAGAAGTCATTAAAATAACATGAAGTCTGTGTATTTGGTGCAGTCCTCACATTTTTATCCTGGATTCCCATCTCCTCTGAGTTGGGGGTTATTATCTAAAGCAGATGTTGTTTGTTAATTAGATATTAATCAAGTCAAATGCTTAACTACTAGTCATGCTAACATTTAAATCCTAAGAGGATAGCTCGTCAGCCTGCCTTTCAATATCTCTTTCCAGAGCCTTTAAAGAGAAGTAGCAATGATGTAGGGAAGTGCAGAGGAATGATCCTGGGAGCTAAATTTAGGTTCCGCTAGGAAGGATACTTGGGCCCAGGGCTTCTCTATAGTAGGGGTCTGCAAGATGCTTTCAAATCTATATGCAGGACAGCTTGACATGGGAACTTCAGAGCTTTACAGTGCCAAGAAGAGAGGGGATGAAGAGAGGAACAGGAAATTAATTGGGCACTAGGGAGAAAAGGCTTCTACAGAAGGGACAGGTTCCACCTTAACCTCAGCAACACCAAACTGCACGCACAAAAAATCAGCCAGGGGGTAGGAGTTTATTTAAAACAAGAGCTGAGGAAGAGTGGATGGGTGCTGCAGAACATCAGAGTCATTCAAAGCCTTCTGCCTGGGATGTCAGGAACTCACAGTACCTCTATACTTAAGGAAGGGCAGGACAGAAATGGCAGGTGCACAGGGGAAGGAAGAGGTTGAGATGTCCCAGAAAGGAGCAGAGTTGGACTGTGAAGCTAAATATCCTTGTGTGCTGTAGAACTCACCGTTCCAATAAACATCAGCATTAAGGAAATCCTTCAGTAGCCCTTGATCTAGTGTGACATCCGAGCAGATGAGTCACCCCCCCAGGCTTGATCTCTCTCTGCATCATGCAATCAGTGTCCTTATCTTCATCAGGAAGCCTGTAGTATGACCCTGGTTGTAGATTTGTACCTGTGACCTGGAATTGGGATCCTGGCAGATATGTCTGGACTGTCCTCTCCCCTTGGGGATGCTATCTCGCGTGCTTGGATATGGTAAGGGACTGCCATCTTTGTGAATTTATTTGTCTTTCTTGGGCAGTTTACCTCTCGGTTTGTGGCCTCCCATGGGGTTATTCCACCCAGCTTCAGTAATGCCTGTCACGTCAAGGGCAAAAGTCATCTCCAGGCATTAATTCACCTGTTCCTGCTTTCAGACTTCTTGTTGTGCCATATGATTTATGTGCTTTATTTCTGGCTCTGTGCCTTGTGTTATTCTCAGCGTAGTACTATTTGATACATAGAAATGGATCCTGCTGGTACTTAAAAAACCCAGTGGCCCTGCCTAGAGGCTCAGACTCAAGCTCATACCATCTGCCAGCTTCAGAGTCAAGAAGGAATTTTTCCCATAGGTCAGACTGGCACAGACCTACTCTGTAGTACGGGGCATGGTTCTTTTCCTAGGATCTTCTGAGCGTATTAGTAACTACTTTCTTGTAACTGCAGTGGCAGGACATTTAGGGCTGTGCGAAACAGCACCATTTCATTTCAACTTCCGTTTCAATGGGACAGTGTTTGGTTTCGTTTCGAAACCACTGTTCCGTTTCATTTTGTTGAAACTGTTTTGCTGTTTGGGCACTGTTTTGAGGTTTCACCCATAGGCTATAATGGGGAACCATGAAACTGGCTATAACTTTGACAGTTCTTGCCTGATTCAGATGGAACTTGCAGGGATGGTAGCTCCTTCTGAGGCCATGAAGCCTGCCAAGTTTCAAAGACATAGATGCAGGGTTTTTTGGGAAATTGCACCTCAAATTATTGAAAGTAAAACTTGTGTCATGCGTGTGATTTAAGGAACAGCAGAGTGAAAGCTGCTGGGATGGTAGCCCCTGCTGAGGCCACAGAGCCTGCCAAATTTCAAGGAGACAGGTCCAGGTATTTCTGGGAAACTACACCTCAGGCTGCTGACAAGCAAAACTCATGTCACGTGTGTGTGTAAAGGCACAGCAGGGTGAAAACTGAAGGGATGGTAGCCCCTGCTGTGGCCATGAAGCCTGCCAGGTTTCAAAGAGATAGGTGCCGGGGTTTCTGGGAAACCACACCTCAAGCTGCTGACAAGCAAAACTCATGACATGGGTGACAGGCCAGTTCAAACAATGCTGCCTTTTATGCTGTTTTATGCTGTGTTTCCATCCCTTCCCCAGAGCACTGGGATTGGAAAGGACCTCTGGGAAGGACCAAGGTCACTGGCCAGCTACATAGTCAATATGAGAGCAGTCCTTCTCCCCTCTTCCCCCTCCCTCTCCTTAGTTTCTGTTTTCCTGCAGGCAAGCCCTGCTTGAGTTTCAAAACTCAAAACATTTCGAAGCTTTCAAAATGTTTTGACTTTCCTCGTTTCGTTTCGAGGCTGTTTCAAAGCCCTTTGTTTTGTTTCGATTTCGCTGTTTCGAGCTCGAAACGAGTCGAAACCATCAAAACGAAACAGCCGATGAAATTTCACACAGCCTTAATTAGCAGTGCCCTCATCTCCCCTGTTGTTTCCAGTCAAAGGTTGTTGGTGTTTCTGATTTTGTGCAGCACGTGATTAGGAGCCTTGTTGGACTGGAGACAGACATT